AATTTTCGACAGTGAAATGGGGACACTATATGCTGCAGTAAGCTTGCCTCTAGTAAGAAAAAATGATGAAATATTATAATATAAGATTCCTTCTATCTAGAAAACCAGAAACTGAAAATAAGTATAATCGTGATCTAGTTATCAATGTTTCCTTAAATTGATATAGAAATGTATGATGTCATAGATAAGAAATAATCATAACGAGATAGCAAAACTAAATCAGCCATGATAGATGAAACATTTGTCATTTTTTGTATAATCGCTTTCTGTGCGTTATAATAAAATTTATTATGAAAGCAAATAAATCAGAAAATAAATATATAAAGGAAAAAAAGTTCTGAAATGTTAATATTATATATCTACCTCTCTGTCTATCTACCTCTTTCTCTCTATATCGATCTATCTATCTATCTACCTATCTATATACCTCTCTTTTTCTCTCTGTATCTCTCTCTCTCTCTCTCTCTCTCTCTCTCTCTCTCTCTCTATCNCTCTATCTCTTTCTATATACAAACAGGGGATTTGTGCTAAAAAGTAGAGAAGAGAGAGAGAGAGAGAAGAGAGAGAGAGAGAGAGAGAGAGAGAGAGAGAGAGAGAGAGAGAGAGAGAGAGAGAGAGAGAGAGAGAGAGAGAGAGAGAGAATCTACCCCCTCCCCCGTCTATCATTACAATAATTAATTAGCATCAGAAGCTCAAACGTTTGTAGATATAGGAAAGTCCTATGGCTTGGTGACGCGACACGTGAAGGTCTGCCTTGCCTGGCTGAGCTCTGTCTGACCCTATCTATTGTGCCTTTCAACTAGCGAAGCAGATAGAGCTCAGAAGCTTCTGTTTCTGAAGCACAGCTTATCCATTGCCAAGTTTCAACACCGTTTTCTCTTCTCTAGCTGCATTTCACCATATATGGAATTGTATATGTACAGGTTGTTTGTTTTTGTTTTAAAAGGTGATGGATAGAGAGTGCACAGGAGCTGGGTTGAAGTATGGTTATGTTAATGGAATTTTGGTATCCTAATTTTGAATGCAGTGATTCTATATCATTTCCTTTGTATCGGAATCTTTTGATTACTGTGGCTCAAACTCATTATGGATAAGAATACCCGCATCGATATCCGCAAATATTGAAAGATCGACATACGAACCGCATGTAATATGTATAGATATACTGTGTGTTGCGTGTGTGTATGTGTGTGCGTGCATGTGTGTGTGTGTGGTGGGCGTGTGTGCATATATGTGTGTGAGTGTCTGTGTCTGTGTGTGTTCGTGCGTACATGTGTGTGTGTGTGTGTGTGTGTGTGTGTGCATGTGTGTGCGCTTGCATGTGTGTGTGTGTGCGTGTGTGTGCGTGTGGATTACCAGGAGCAAATGCTTGTGTGGATTTTTATTTAACAGTATTTTTTTCCTCTATGATAATCACGAGTGTAATATATTCCAAATAGTGTAAACATTTTGTGAAATAAAAGGGACCAGTGTGTATATATAGATACAGCATGTCTTCCTTTTCTTCGTTACTGCAAGTCAGATATCGTTATTCAACATGTTAACATTAATAAAAGAAATCACGCCACGTTTTGTTTGATATTCCCCCGAACTCGCGAGCAAATCTCACAGACTGCAGCATGGAAAGTAATGTCTAACATAGTCTTACATATATGCTTTACCAAAAAAAAAAAAAGGAAAAAAAGAAAAAAAAAAGAAAAAAAATATATATATACATACACACACACACACACACAGACACACACACACACACACACACACAACCCCCCACACACACACACACACATATATATATATATATATATATATATATATATATATAATATATATATATATATATATATATATATATATATATGTATATATATATGATAATAAATAAAAAAATTAATAAAAGAAAGGGGTAACAGAAATAATAAATCGATGGAATAGAATGAAGATAACTTTATCTTTCTAGAAATGATTAATAGTAAGCTCTGTTTCTTTCTTTCCTTTTTTCTTTGTTCATCGATGAAGGAGTGTATGTTATTTTTGTTTAATCCTATATCATACATATAAAATCAAATATTTGCCACGATACAAAGTGAATTGATATACTTTTTATTCATCAGTATATTTTTGTCGTCAAAGTTTCAGAAAATAAGGGGACCCTCATGGGACTTGCCTCCGACCCACAAACGTTTAGCAACGCCCCTGTCTGTGTATATATGCAAAGATATACTAGCATACACACGCACGTATGCAAACTGGGGCATAAACACAAATGCGCACATATGTGAATCTGATTATTAGCTTTATTGTTTTATTTTTTAAAGAAACTATACATTTTTTATCACGTCTTTATTGTGACATAGATACACACAAATTCACATGAATATCATGAAATAAGGAATGCGTCATTTATCATTGTCATCATTATCATTATTCACCAAGGTCAGGATTCCTTTTTTATTTTCAAGACACTCCGGGATCCATTGTTGTGCGAAAGCATGAGCAAGGGACATTTAGTGTGCTTGTGCATGCATGTTTTGAGGACCCTTTCGTCGATATCACCATCTTCATCGCCATTTTGGCCGAGGTACCTGTAAAGAGATAGATTTCTGTTAATTTCTTAATGTTAGTGACATTCAAAGGACCAGACATATCGCCATGATGTTAAAACAAGAAGGAACTGTCGCCCTCACCCCACAAGGAGGCCGCGAATCTCGCACTGGAGCCAAGCGAGGCAGTGCTGTGACGTCATCAACCAGCCTATCCATCCGGCCATAGCCTTTACCGACGCGCCAACACCACGGCGCCCCTCCGCTCCTTTCCGCCCTCCGTCTATGGTCGACAGGAGGCTCCAAGGGTCGTGCTCCTCCAGAAGAAGGTCCTCGGTGTCTGGGTCGTTCTCCTCGTCATGGGGTGAGCACAGACACCCGTTGTGTGGCGCTGACCTCATGCCGGGTGACGACTGCTCTTGGACTCCTCGCTGCCCACGGGATCGCCTCCCTTCGCCCCTCGCCGCGTGATTGGCGTCCGAGTCCTCGCCTCCAACTGCGCTATCTGTCGCTTCGTCGGCAGGGGGCGCTCGGTCGTATTTCCGGACGCCTTTCGCCAGCGTCTGAAATGCGCCAAGTTCCTCCTGCAGTTCACTTAGCTCTCGAATGGTCCTTCCGTTGACATTGTTGTTATTATTGTTGTTGTTGTTATTGTTGTTATTGTTATCATCGTTATTGTTATTCAGATTGATGATGTTTATCGCCACCTCGAGCATGATGAGCATCATGTTCATGAATCCGAAATACGAAAAGTTGCTTTGCTTCGGACAGCTCGCGTAGGACGACGCTCTGCCAACGACGCCGTCGGGGAATTCAAGTCCACTTCGCGCATGACTGACGCTCGGCGGCGGCGACGCGCGATCCCAAAGCAGCGTGGAGTCTTCGCCGGGGGAGAGGACGTCAGCAGCGCCGACCACAGCCAACACAGGCAGACTGACGACGCCTGACGGGGAGCGACTAACGGGTGAAGGCGAGCGGCGCGGGCGGGCGGGGCGGGCGGGCGGGCGGGCGGGCGGGGGGCGGCGGTAAACGGTGCGCGGCTTCGTCGGAGAGAGTTCGCTGCCGCTCGCTCGTCGGTAAAATCTTCCTTTTTGTTATCTTACGCTTCCTGTATCCTGATGGTCTCTTAATTGCCGCCCCTTCGTTACTTCGGCTTAGTACTGGCGCAGGCGAAGGGGACTTGCGAATTCAATCGGCTTCTTCGCAAATCCACACTTTCCTTATAATGAATTCCACATGAGGGTCTCTATCTGGTCATATTGATCAGGTGGTCCATTGTATTCCTTGTCAGGTAACAGGTGATCACGTGTGTAGAATTCTGCTTTCATTAGTTAATTTATTCCCATTTTATCGATATCCTTTTGATATTAGAGCCGCGGTTGATATGCTGTTCATGTCTTCCTGGACTTCATGAACTATTTTTTTCCATTTAGGTGACATAACCATGAATCGATTGTTATGTCACGCAATAAACACATTTGGTTCATAACACTGAATGAATCGTAGTGTTACGTTATGTACAACTTGAAGTATCTCCTTTGCTTATGAACATTTGTCAGTACCCATTCTCTTGCCTTATGCCTTGCTGTCTAAGTCCGCTCAATGAATCTTACGGTAAAGATCATTTTCGCCCAATACACCCACCAAAGCCACAACACTCTTTCCTAAGAATACCCCATGGCATTACATACCGCTGAGGATCAACCACACACAAGAACCACAGCACATTTTATTTCCTTACACAGCAACAACACAATAACACGGGAGACTAGCAGACACACGAACCCCAAAGTACATCACGGAGGGGAGGAGCAGCCGGGGAACTGGGCCGAGCAGTCCTCCCCGACGAGAGGTCGAGAAATAGACCTCAGCGCGCTTTCCACCAGCCGCCTCGCCCGCTGTCCGCCTCCTGCCAACCTGAAAGGACAAGAAAGTTATTTTACGCGCATCGCCCACGCAAGCACGTGTAGATTTGCGCATACATGTGTATATCCATTTGTGTATCGATCTAGCTAGATACGTGTCTGTCTATCTGTCTGTTTGTCTACCTGTTTATCTGTCCGACTATCTATCTATCTGTCTGTCTGTCTCTTTTTGCCTATCTGTCGATTTGTCTATCTATTTTCCTATCCACCTATCGGTCGATCGATCTATCCATCTGCCTCTCTCCTTATCTATCTAAACACAGGTGTCCCGAGAGCCTCACCTCCTCCCCGTCACCAGCAGATGCTCCCTGGCGACCCTCCCCGCCTCGCAGCCGACCCGCCCCAGGCACTCCGGGTTGTGCCTGCTGCTGGAGAGGCTCTGCAGCATCGTCCTCAGTGCCTGCGCCGCTCTCTTGCGCTTGTTGCATCTGCACTTGCTTCTCGGCTTCGCGCTGGGTTGGAATTTCCCAAAGGCTTTGCGCAGGAAGTCGGCATGGGACGGGGGGAACGCGAATGATCTCCGATTGTTGTTGTT